TCCCTCTCTCACTCTATCCTCCATTTGTTCCTTCCCTCCCTCCCTCTCTCACTCACTCCTCCTCCTATTCCTTCCCTCTCTTCCTCTCTCACTCACTCCTCCTCCTATTCCTTCCCTCTCTTCCTCTCTCACTCACTCCTCCTCCTATTCCTTCCCTCTCTTCCTCTCTCACTCACTCCTCCTCCTATTCCTTCCCTCTCTTCCTCTCTCACTCACTCCTCCTCCTATTCCTTCCCTCCCTTCCTCTCTCCGCTCTCAGAGCAGTTTACCAGCCGACACAATACTCTAATTAAATGTTAAAATAATTCGAGCCGGGACATTGTTTCCGGCCAACACACTAATTACATCAGCGAGAAAATTAGGCAGAGCGGAGCAAGTGTGGAGCCTGAGCCAGGCATAGTTGTCAGCGACCTGCCTCCATCCTGGTGTACTGGTGGAGGTACCTTTCCATCCTGGTGTACTGGTGGAGGTACCTTTCCATCCTGGTGTACTGGTGGAGGTACCTTTCCATCCTGGTGTACTGGTGGAGGTACCTTTCCATCCTGGTGTACTGGTGGAGGTACCTTTCCATCCTGGTGTACTGGTGGAGGTACCTTTCCATCCTGGTGTACTGGTGGAGGTACCTTTCCATCCTGGTGTACTGGTGGAGGTACCTTTCCATCCTGGTGTACTGGTGGAGGTACCTTTCCATCCTGGTGTACTGGTGGAGGTACTTTTCCATCCTGGTATACTGGTGGAGGTACCCTTCCATCCTGGTGTACTGGTGGAGGTACCCTTCCATCCTGGTATACTGGTGGAGGTACCTTTCCATCCTGGTGTACTGGTGGAGGTACCTTTCCATCCTGGTGTACTGGTGGAGGTACCTTTCCATCCTGGTGTACTGGTGGAGGTACCTTTCCGTCCTGGTGTACTGGTGGAGGTACCTTTCCATCCTGGTGTACTGGTGGAGGTACCTTTCCATCCTGGTGTACTGGTGGAGGTACCTTTCCATCCTGGTATACTGGTGGAGGTACCTTTCCATCCTGGTGTACTGGTGGAGGTACCTTCCATCCTGGTGTACTGGTGGAGGTACCTTTCCATCCTGGTGTACTGGTGGAGGTACCTTTCCATCCTGGTGTACTGGTGGAGGTACCTTTCCATCCTGGTGTACTGGTGGAGGTACCTTTCCATCCTGGTGTACTGGTGGAGGTACTTTTCCATCCTGGTATACTGGTGGAGGTACCCTTCCATCCTGGTATACTGGTGGAGGTACCCTTCCATCCTGGTGTACTGGTGGAGGTACCCTTCCATCCTGGTATACTGGTAGAGGTACCCTTCCATCCTGGTATACTGGTGGAGGTACCCTTCCATCCTGGTATACTGGTGGAGGTACCTTTCCATCCTGGTATACTGGTGGAGGTACCTTTCCATCCTGGTGTACTGGTGGAGGTACCCTTCCATCCTGGTATACTGGTGGAGGTACCCTTCCATCCTGGTATACTGGTGGAGGTACCCTTCCATCCTGGTGTACTGGTGGAGGTACCCTGCCATCCTGGTATACTGGTGGAGGTACCCTTCCATCCTGGTATTCTGGTGGTGGTACCCTTCCATCCTGGTATACTGGTGGAGGTACCCTTCCATCCTGGTATACTGGTGGTGGTACCCTTCCATCCTGGTATACTGGTGGAGGTACCCTTCCATCCTGGTATACTGGTGGAGGTACCCTTCCATCCTGGTGTACTGGTGGAGGTACCCTGTCATCCTGGTATACTGGTGGAGGTACCTTTCCATCCTGGTGTACTGGTGGAGGTACCCTTCCATCCTGGTATACTGGTGGAGGTACCCTTCCATCCTGGTATACTGATGGAGTCATATCCTTTCATAGAGACGATGAAGCAGTCACCGGCTTCCTCATTCTCTCCATCAAGGTTTATTGATGGTGTCAACCCACCCTTCCTCTCTTCCTTCCAACCTCCCTCTTTCATTTCTTCCCTGTTTCCTTCCTTTCGTACGTCCCTCCCTCTTTCCTTCCTCCTTTCCCTGCCTCCCTTCTTCCTCCATCCATCTTTCGAGCATTTTACCTACCTTGGGTTAATGCCAATGGTGTGGGTCGCGTGCCCACACTCCATCAGACTTCTAGTGAGAAATTTGTTTACCCCTGCTGGTGGATACCCCAGCAGGGTCCTTCACACCTCCTGCTGCTGCCATGTTCCTTTATGGTGTATTGTTGTTACTGCTGCTTGTAGGAACCTTGTCCTGTGAGGCGTTCCTTCCTCACACCTTGTATACGTCCGTAGCCTCCCAGAGGACCGTGTATCACCTTTCTTTTATGTATGTATATACTGTGATCATCATGAAACGTTTTCATTGATATTGATACCAAACTGGAAATGGCTGATTTGTACACCACTGAGCTTCATGATTTGACACATGTGAATCATATTGGCAAAGTCTTCAGTAATTCGATTCCATTGTATTTATCTGATAGCCATTTGGTAACATGCGCCATCATCCTATAAAATATGACTCTCGAGAGACAGTTTAGACTTGCTGACCACTCCATGTTGTGTTCTCGTTCTTGTATAAGCACTGATGATTCTTATATCGCCAGTTACGAAATGATAGATATTTTCTACAGTGAATTTTTGCTTCACTTCCACGGCAGCTTTTTCAAATGCCATTCCTGGAATCCCGAAGTTTGGAACTATTTTCCTAACTTTTCTCATGTTGTCATTTCCTTATGGATGGCTGGGCGCTCCTTCAACACCAAAAGCTTCTAAACTTCTGCTCTTTTCCACGGAAAATGTTACCTCGTTCGGTGTTGGGGGGTCCTCGTCCGGTGTTGGGGGGTCCTCGTCCGTCCTGTGTTGGGGGTCCTCGTCCGGTGTTGGGGGTCCTCGTCCGGTGTTGGGGGTCCTCGTCCTGTGTTGGGGGTCCTCGTCCGGTGTTTGGGGGTCCTCGCCCGGTGTGTGTGGGGGGGGGGTCCTCGTCCAGGTGTTGGGGGTCCTCGCCCTGTGTTGGAGGTCCTCGTCTGGTGTTTGGGGGTCCTCGTCCGGTGTTGGGGGTCCTCGTCCGGTGTTGGGGGTCCTCGTCCGGTGTTGGGGGTCCTCGTCCGGTGTTGGGGGTCCACGTCTGGTGTTTGAGGGTCCTCGCCCGGTGTTTGGGGGTCCTCGCCCGGTGTGTGTGTGGGGGGGGGGGGGGACCTCGTCCAGTGTGTGGGGGGTGTCCTCGTCCGGTGTTGGGGGTCCTCGCCCTGTGTTGGAGGTCCTCGTCTGGTATTTGGGGGTCCTCGTCCGGTGTGGGGGTCCTCGTCCGGTGTTGGAGGTCCTCGTCCGGTGTTGGGGGTCCTCGTCCGATGTGGGGGTCTTCATCTGGGGTGGGGGTCCTCGTCCGGTGTTGGAGGTCCTCGTCCGGTGTGGGGGTCCTCGTCCGGTGTGGGGGTCCTCGTCCGGTGAGGGGGTCCTCGTATGGTGTGGGGGCACTCGTATGGTGTGGGGACCCTCGTATTGTGTGGGGACCCTCGTATGGTGTGGGGGTCCTCGTATGGTGTGGGGGCATTCCTATGGTGTGGGGGCCCTCGTATGGTGTGGGGGCCCTCGTATGGTGTAGGGGTCCTCGTATGGTGTGGGGACCCTCGTATGGTGTGGGGGCCCTCGTATGGTGTGGGGACCCTCGTATGGTGTGGGGGTCCTCGTATGGTGTGGGGGTCCTCGTATGGTGTGGGGGCCCTCGTATGGTGTGGGGGTCCTCGTATACATATATTCAGGATTAAATTTTTTGTAGCGGGTGAAGTATTTTTCGAGCTCAATTTAGAGTTTGAATTAAACAGATCATCCATTAAGTTTGAGAAGTGTAAGTGCTGGACCTGACATTCGGTGGACGGAGTGGACGGCAGGTTTGACCTCTCACACTCGATGTGGTTTGGCAATATATTCTAACAAAATGTTAAATTTCATCTCGTACCGCTTAATTGTGTTAAATTGCATCATTGGATTTCAGATAGTCTGAATGCTAGCTTTGAGTCTATAGTTTCGTTTTTCGTTTAATAAAATTTATGTGGGTCTCCACCGTGCGTTTAAAAATTCATTTGTATGTTGCTGAAGTGGTTATCAGGACAAAGTGGTAAGCCCGTGTGACTATAGAGCACATGGGAGGGATGTGAGGACACGGGATGAGGGAACTCTGCCCAAACACTAGGACCATTAAGGAGTTGAAAGCATTAAGAACCTGCGAAACTCTCGTTCAAAGTACCTCACAGCTCTCGCCTTTCACTAAATGTCTTCCCGTATCTAACCCGAAAACTTCCCCCGACAGCCCTCAGAGCTCTGCAGACTCCCACCATTCTTTGCCCATGGACTTCCACTCTTCTAACAAAAAGCATATATCTCGTTCTCTCTCTCCCTTTTCCTTTAACCTTTTAATCCCAGCGAGTCTCACATCCTCCCAATCAACTCTTGTCATGGATGGTATCCTTCACTTCCAACAACCTTCCTCTCTCGTTCAGAAAAAACAAGCCCCTTCTCCTCTCCTTGCGCATAAACCTTAATTTTCCATGGACCCTGAAGCCCCTTCCTCCCCCTTCACCGTCCTTTCCCACCAAAAGATTTTCCCGTCAATATCCAAGCACCTCCCCGCCTCCTTCCTCACTCTTCAGGATCATTTTATCAAAACTCTGATTCCTCCATCCTTCCTTCCTGGAACCCGCCCTCATCTATTACTAACCCGTTTGTCAAAGGATCTGTGGATGATCAGATCATTCTAAACACACCGGCAGCCTATATATATACACTAGTACTTGTGTGGTTGTGGTGGAGGGTGAGCTTGTGGTGGAGGGCGAGGTAGTGGAATGCTAATAAAAATTAGTAATCCAGTGAGAGGTGAGCCTTGCTCACTTGACAAACTTCCGTTGAGAGGCTTGCTAATTGATCTTCCTAAGTTCTAAGAAACTCCTTTATTGTAGAAATAAAGCCTTAATCATCTTTTGTTTTTTATCTCTCATTCCTCTTTTATGCTTTCGAAAGTCAGCAAAGATGAATCACAGCAGTGAGGGAGGTTGGGAAGGCCAGCTTGGTGGTTGGGAAGGCCAGCTTGGTGGTTGGGAAGGCCAGCTTGGTGGTTGGGAAGGCCAGCTTGGTGGTTGGGAAGGCCAGCTTGGTGGTTGGGAAGGCCAGCTTGGTGGTTGGGAAGGCCAGCTTGATGGTTGGGAAGGCCAGCTTGGTGGTTGGAAAGGCCAGCTTGGTGGTTGGGAAGGCCAGCTTGGTGGTTGGGAAGGCCAGCTTGGTGGTTGGGAAGGCCAGCTTGATGGTTGGGATGGCCAGCTTGGTGGTTGGGAAGGCCAGCTTGGTGGTTGGGAAGGCCAGCTTGGTGGTTGGGAAGGCCAGCTTGATGGTTGGGAAGGCCAGCTTGGTGGTTGGGAAGGCCAGCTTGGTGGTTGGGAAGGCCAGCTTGGTGGTTGGGAAGGCCAGCTTGGTGGTTGGGAAGGCCGGCTTGATGGTTGGGAAGGCCAGCTTGGTGGTTGGGAAGGCCAGCTTGGTGGTTGGGAAGGCCAGCTTGGTGGTTGGGAAGGCCAGCTTGGTGGTTGGGAAGGCCAGCTTGGTGGTTGGGAAGGCCAGCTTGATGGTTGGGAAGGCCAGCTTGGTGGTTGGGAAGGCCAGCTTGATGGTTGGGAAGGCCAGCTTGGTGGTTGGGAAGGCCAGCTTGGTGGTTGGGAAGGCCAGCTTGGTGGTTGGGAAGGCCAGCTTGGTGGTTGGGAAGGCCAGTTTGGTGGTTGGGAAGGCCAGCTTGGTGGTTGGGAAGGCCAGTTTGATGGTTGGAAAGGCCAGCTTGATGGTTGGGAAGGCCAGCTTGATGGTTGGGAAGACGAGCTTGGTGGTTGGGAAGGCCAGCTTGATGGTTGGGAATGCCAGCTTGATGGTTGGGAAGGCCAGCTTGATGGTTGGGAAGGCCAGCTTGGTGGTTGGGAAGGCCAGCTTGATGGTTGGGAAGACGAGCTTGGTGGTTGGGAAGGCCAGCTTGATGGTTGGGAAGGCCAGCTTGGTGGTTGGGAAGGCCAGTTTGATGGTTGGGAAGGCCAGCTTGGTGGTTGGGAAGGCCAGCTTGGTGGTTGGGAAGGCCAGCTTGGTGGTTGGGAAGGCCAGCTTGATGGTTGGGAAGGCCAGCTTGATGGTTGGGAAGGCCAGCTTGGTGGTTGGGAAGGCCAGCTTGGTGGTTGGGAAGGCCAGCTTGATGGTTGGGAAGGCCAGCTTGGTGGTTGAGAAGGCCAGCTTGGTGGTTGGGAAGGCCAGCTTGATGGTTGGGAAGGCCAGCTTGATGGTTGGGAAGGCCAGCTTGATAGTTGGGAAGGCCAGCTTGATAGTTGGGAAGGCCAGCTTGATAGTTGGGAAGGCCAGCTTGATAGTTGGGAAGGCCAGCTTGATAGTTGGGAAGGCCAGCTTGATGGTTGGGAAGGCCAGCTTGATAGTTGGGAAGGCCAGCTTGATGGTTGGGAAGGCCAGCTTGGTGGTTGGGAAGGCCAGCTTGATGGTTGGGAAGGCCAGCTTGATGGTTGGGAAGGCCAGCTTGATGGTTGGGAAGGCCAGCTTGGTGGTTGGGAAGGCCAGCTTGATGGTTGGGAAGGCCAGCTTGATGGTTGGGAAGGCCAGCTTGATGGTTGGGAAGGCCAGCTTGGTGGTTGGGAAGGCCAGCTTGATGGTTGGGAAGGCCAGCTTGATGGTTGGGAAGGCCAGCTTGATGGTTGGGAAGGCCAGCTTGGTGGTTGGGAAGGCCAGCTTGGTGGTTGGGAAGGCCAGCTTGATGGTTGGGAAGGCCAGCTTGATGGTTGGGAAGGCCAGCTTGATGGTTGGGAAGGCCAGCTTGGTGGTTGGGAAGGCCAGCTTGGTGGTTGGGAAGGCCAGCTTGATGGTTGGGAAGGCCAGCTTGATGGTTGGGAAGGCCAGCTTGATGGTTGGGAAGGCCAGCTTGGTGGTTGGGAAGGCCAGCTTGATGGTTGGGAAGGCCAGCTTGGTGGTTGGGAAGGCCAGCTTGGTGGTTGGGAAGGCCAGCTTGGTGGTTGGGAAGGCCAGCTTGGTGGTTGGGAAGGCCAGCTTGGTGGTTGGGAAGGCCAGCTTGGTGGTTGGGAAGGCCAGCTTGGTGGTTGGGAAGGCCAGCTTGGTGGTTGGTTTTATACTCCCCAGGAACAAATTAAAATTTTTATATTGTAACTTCTTAACAAATTGTTCTTTGCATAAACAATTGATTAAAACCTAACAGAGAAGAACATCATGGAAAAGGAACGTATAATGAGCAAATGTCGTACATTTGAACGTGTAATGAACATGTTATGAATATGAAATGAACATACAGTATTATGAACATATAACGGACAAACACAGCACAAATTGGATTCGTAAGCAGAGTTGCAGTAAATAATCGAAGTGGATAATAATCAACACGAACAGTTATTCGTATTATTCCCGGGTGAGCGGAAGCATACGTGTCAAGGGTGTGCTGAGCTTAGCCGTGTGTATCGAAGTCGAGATTCAGCTCCAGCGCCCCGCCTTAGAGTAACTGTACTTCCTGCCGTTCAATTATAACTTCGAGAGCTCTTGAATAGTGATTGTTTCCTCGAGTGAGTCTTCAAGCGACACGATCTTGACGTTCCCGATTTGCCGCTCCGTAAGAAATGCAACTGATTTGCCTAACCAGGAACGTGCGAGGCAAAATAACCTCCCTGTTAACATATATCGAGGCACAGAAAGCGTGAAAGGAATGAAACTATCAAGAGAAAGCGTCAAGCCATTACAACTATATAGCACTTGAAAGGGGTCAGGACAAGGATTTGGGATGGGACCAGTGGGAAAGGAATAGTGCGAAACCACTTGGACGATCGGGGATTGAACGCCGACTTGCATGAAGCGAGACCGTCGCTCTACCGTCGAGCCCAAGTGGTTGGGCCAGAGAGCGTGAATATTTCGGGGCTTTAGTATTTGCCAATGCGTCGCATTTTTAACGGTTTAATACATTTCGTAAAAACAACATATTTGGTGAGAAGACGGGAGAACCTGACCTGGACCTGCTTGTGCTCTACCAGGTGTGTGGCTCTACCAGGTGTGTGGCTCTACCAGGTGTGCCTCTGCAGGTGTGGGTCCATTGTGTAGCTGCGCACTAAACAAGTTAAACATACTTCTTGCATAGTTTTCTGAAGGGTTTATTGACATGTGTGTGGAAGCCCTTTGAACAGCTTCTTTGTCAAGAGAGTTGTAGAATATTGGAATATACTGTAAATTGATGTGGGATTAAATTCGATACAGACCTTCCAGAAAAGGCTGGTTTGGTGTTTACTAACTGTTAATGCAAATTAAGCCCGTATTTTAACATCATAGCATGAACCTGTGGTTATAGGTAGTTGAAGTAGTGGTAATAGCAGCTGAAACGGTGGTAACAGCAGTTGAAGTGGTGGTAATAGCTGGTTAAAGTAGCATCAACACTGTTATTACTACTAGGGGAAAAACAAAAAGCATATCGCCTTTAACCACAGCTTGGTGCTAATTCCTAAGCTCTTCTCGCTACACATTATAAGTCGGTGGGAGAAGCGACTGAACCTTTTCATTTTCTCTCTTAATCTAGTGGAGTCTGATGAAGCCAATAACTTACCTCCTCTCTCCATTGATTACCCTCCCATTACTTCCCATCTTTCCTCCTTCCCTCCCACACTCCCCTTCCCCCACTATAATCCCCCTCCCGTCTCTTTGCTTCTCAACCATTTCCCCTTCCCCCTCTTTCCCCTCCTGACCCCTCTTCCTGGAGCCCCGGGTCGTGTGTCCTCCCAGGGCCTCGTGCAGGAAGGGGCCGGGCGGTGGTTGGAAGGGGTAAAAACCCTCCAATCTCGTGTAGATTATGAGCAAATCCTCTCTCGTGGCTCGTACGGTGCTCCATTAATCTCTACACCCAACGAGCAACCAATGTATATACATATACATTATAAACTATATATATATATATATATATATATATATATATATATATATTATAATATATATATATATATATATATATATATATATATATATATATATATATATATATATAGATTATAGATAGTATAGATATATATGACCATATTGATGATGTGGGACGTGGATCACTAATGACTATGTACTTTACAGCAGTCGGTGAGAGTATACAGGTTCAGGTGTGTAGCACCTACACCACGGGTCTAGTGAGGTCCGTAAATAACAGTATGAATAATAACCAACACCACACTGTAATGGACCGCTTGAGCTACAAGCCCAACAGTCGCATCAGTCTATTAAACGGGAAAAAAACTGCTGGGAATCATATTTGTTAACAAGCGATAGATGCAATAATATTAATAAACTATCAGGGGAAAGTGCCAAGCCATTATGACTATATTGCACTTGGAAGGAGAAAGGATAAAGATTTGGGATGGGACGGGGGGGGGGGGGGGGGAAGAAATTGTGCCCATACACTTGGACGGTCGGGGATATTGAACGCCAAC